TGCCCACCCGAAAGTGTATCCCCGCAAAAACGCAGCTGACCCACATTTTGTAGATCGTTGTGCTGCGATCCGATCGCCAGTACTTCGTCCAGTATAGCCTCTTCTAGTGACGTTTGCTGGTCGGTGGTCAAAGCAACCTCTGGGAAATACTTTGGCAGCACCGCCATTTTCACTTGTCCAGCAATAGCGGCAAAGCTGGTGATACGTCCCTGCTTGCCTCCAGGTGTTGGACGGCTTTCCATCTTGGCTTTTTTCTCTCCTTACTGGAAAAGAGGTGAGGGGTTCTCGCTCCGTCTCTTGCCCTTTGATGGAGATGAGTCAGGTTGTTACTTCAGTCACAATAAATATAAGTCCAAAATTCTTAGCCAACATTTCTTCGTCTGTGTCATTCTATATGAATCAGAGTAACGGTACCATCAAAATATATAAATAAAAGAAATGCCTATGTATACGTCTTTGCATATGTGTTAGCGACTTTCATTTGGCGCTCTTCTCCAATTCGAGCAAATATTTCTGCCCACAGTTCGGCCTTCCGTAACATTTCGCTCGTTTTATTTTTGTTTATCGATGCATTTCTCGGGGCAATGTCGTTAACCGGCCTTTAAAAGTATTTCGTCTGTGGTGGGGCCCGAAGAAAAGAAGAAATTTATATACGCAGATAACGTTTGCTTACGTCGGTGGTTCGGCCGAAGAGAAAGTTTAAGCTGTTGGCCGATGGTTGCTTGGCCTACATAGCCAACCGAAAAAACACCTCTCGGTATGCGTTTTATCATGAGAATCGTTCGTGCTCGGGCAAATTAATACCAGAAAATCGCATTTAATTCGCGAACGATTAACGAGAATTGGCTGCGTGGAACAGAAATGTGGCGATAGTTCAGGGATAATTAAATTATAGGTGCAGATAATTCTATGTACAGATGCAGCGAAACTTCTCTCTATCTCAAAATATTCATATTTTTAACTTTAAAGCTTCATTCTGAACCTTGCAATTAGTGGTTTCAAATACACTTTATACTTTTTAGTTTACGATCATTCGCAATGTCCAAAAAACACAATTGAAACTAGTAGAATATTCTAGCAGCAGCTTGGCGGTAGTCACTTGTATTCATAGACAAAGTCTAATATTTAGCTTATAAAACAATAAACTTTTGATTTCTAGCTACAATTTCTCTGGATCTCAAAGGTCAAAATAACATTTTCCGCAAATTTTGAAGTATACCTAATTAGTGAAAAAGTCAAAAGTTTGTTACCTTTTTCCACTAATTGAAGATTACTACCACAAATTTTGACGTTTTGAATGCTTACATTGAAATTAACGGAACAAGAACAAACTAATTTGGATGTTCTGAATGAAGCTTACTTCATTCAGAACGAGGCTCCACAAATCCACTAATTGCGACGTTCTGAATGAAGTTTTAATATTCATTCAAAACCCCGCAATTGGTGGAATAAATTAGTGGTTTCAATTAGCCTAGAAGTTTGTTCCTTTAATTTTAATGTAAGCATTCAGAACGTCAAAATTAGCGGTAGACACTTTAAATTAGTAGAAAAAGTTGTCAAACTTTTAACTTTTCCACTAATTATACTTCAAAATTGGCGAGAAATGTCATTTTCGCCTTTGATTATCTTCCGTCAAGAGAAATTGTGGTTAGAAATCAAAAGTTGATTGTTTTATAAGCTATAAATATTATGTTTTCTCTATGGATACAACTGACTATCGCAAGCTGTTGCTAGGATATTCAATTAATTTTAATTGTGTTTTTTAAACATTGTGAATGATTGTAAACTAAAAAGTATGAAGCGTAATTGAAACCACTAATTTATTCCACTAATTGGCGAGGTTCTGAATGAAGCTTTAATCATATTTTTTGCAAGTAGTTTTGTTTATACAATCTGGCTATGTCATTTTATCTACCGGATGGTGCATCATCGTTGGAAACATAGGAAATTCCATGCAAATTTTAAACAGTTCAAATATTGGCTATCGATTTTACAGCAAAGTTAATAGGTTTATTAAAGGTCTTCGTATGTTGAATACACGTGCCAAATTTGAACAATTTGAACAAAAAACAAGTAATTTTTAAATCATTTAAGAAAAACGGCATCTATTTTTAAATTAAAAATGGACAGGCAACAATGCAAAACCAGACAAATGTCAACATACCTTAAGTCTTCAACCTATAATTTTGTCAATTTGTGGTGCTGTTTACGCTACTACGTTATAGTACCTACAGTTAAGTGTGCCCGAAATGCATTTTTGTAATTTAAAACTTGTTCCAGACAGACAAAGCTTAATAGTTTAGGAAATACCATTTGACTTTGACAAAATCAGAGGTTGACAATTTAAGGTCTGTTGGCATTTGCTTGGTCTTACATTGTTACTTGTTCAGTTTTAATTTAAAAATAGAAGGAGTTTTTCTTAAATTATTTTAAATCGGCTTGTCCAAAATTGTTCAAAGTTGGTATGTGTATTCAGTATACGCAGTCCTTTAAAAAACCTCTTTACGACTTCGCTGTAAAATTAATAGGGCCAACATTTGGACAGCGCAATATTTGCATGGGATTTCCTATGTTTCCAACGATGATTCACCACCTAGTATATAAGTCGAATTTCTCTATCTCAACAACTAGAATATTTCTTCAGTATATCCTCGGATCGTATTTATAAGAGGAAAAACTTTTTTATTAACTTTAAAAAAATGTATTTATAAAAATTTTTGCTTTTTCAAAAATGGTTAATCCTGTTCATCTACTCCAAATTTCCATGCTTTTTGGAGCAAAATAAAAAAAATATGAAAATATATTTGATTTTTTCCAAAAGTTCTAAAAATAAAAACGCGTCCTATGATAATATAATTTCGTTTTCATTCTTTGATAGATGGTTATTATTAATTTTAACTAACGGCATATTTTTAACTAATCTACGAGCCCTAACAACTAAATGTTCGGACAAACAAAAATTTATTAAAATTTTTTATTTTCATTAACTGAATTATTTACATTTAAGAAATACATTAAAAATATATTAAAATCTAACATTTCTAATGAGTATTTAAATAGTTTAGTTTCTATAAACTTTAAAATAAACTGTAGGCCAATAAATAAACAAAAAGATTGCACAATATCGTGACAACTAAATGTTCGGACACTATAAAAAATAACTGTACTAATATGGCGTTACATCGGCATGAACTTTTGCAACCACTGCAAGCCTGTTTGGCATTGTTTATATTAATGATTGACATACGCCAGAGTAAAAATTTTGCCATAATTCGTCAAATGGGCAACGGTTTCTTGAGGATCGTGGCACAATTTTTGTTTTGTTTTATTTCACATGTCTCGATAACATTAAGGTCCGGACTGTGCGAAGGTCATGAGGGGACCTTGATGTTCATGTCCCTAAACCATTTTTTAGTAGTTTCAGCTGTATGGCATGCCCCGTCATCCTGTTGAAATATAAAATTATTGTCCTGGTCTTTCTTTACCAGAACAATTGGTTACAAGGACCTTTGTCCTTCCCACTTGACACAAGAATATTTTTCAAATTTTTTTGATTTTTTGACACATCAATTATGCCTTCTACCACCTCATACTTTTCTGGGCCTATTTTGGACATACTCCTTCAAATCATAATGCCTTTAGGAAAATTCACTGTCTTCTTTTGAGGCAATCTTTATCAAATAGACAGTCTAGCGGTGTTAAATATATCGATATTAAGGTGGCTCATGTGCACATGTAATTCGTGCACTTGCCATTTGCGATTGGAATTATTAGCGTCGGATTGGGAAATAATTAAATATTTTACCTTAATGTCATTTTTGTAGTTTGTGACATCAGAAGTTCCAATCCGGCGAAAGAGTCGCTACTATAATATTAATAAAACACTTAGGAAGGTAATTAAAAACTTGTGCTGACCTTTAAATCTCTTTTAAACTACACACAAACAGAACATTTATATAGAGCTTCCGAATGATAAAACAATAATGGCTGCTAACACATACCACTGCTAGAAAGGAGAAAGGAGAGAGGACACATAAGATACACTTGGTCGGTGTGTCTACGCTGAGGCTATCCGCGCGTGCGCACACCTTATGCTAGAATGTAGACACAACAGTACACTATTACAAAGTGTCTATATAGATATTTATATTATGTGTATACGTTACATTTTTACAAGGTGTGTACTATAAGCACAACACATTATACATTGTATGTCTCATATACCGACGTCAGATTTCATCATTTTAATAATTATTTGTTACGTTACAAAAAACTCTTTAGAATCCTGTGTGCACACGGTATACAACTAGTAAACCCTGTATCACACAATTTTATCAATATAAACCTGCGTGTATCTCATATGTATATGTTAGAACTAGATGAACACTTAGGTTCACTTTAACATATTTTGTTTTTCATGTGTTTCTCTTGTAGAAACGTAATTTCATTTGGACGTGCTGTATGGGATGTGGCATAAAACAAAACAAAAATTGTGATCCCCAAGAAACCGTTGCCCATTTGACGATGATATTAAGTGAATTATGGCAAAATTTTTACTCTGGCGTATGTCAATCATTAATAAAAACAATGCCAAACAGACATGCAGTGGTTGCAAAAGTTCATGCCGATGTAACGCCATATTAGAACAGTTATTTTTTAAAGTGTCCGAACATTTAGTTGTCACGATATTGTGCAATATTTTTGCTTATTTATTGGCCTACAGTTTATTTTAATGTTTATAGAAACTAAACTATTTAAATACTCATTAGGAATGTTAGATTTTAATATATTTTTAATGTATTTCTTAAATGTAAATAATTCAGTTAATGAAAATAAAGATTTTTAATAAATTTTTGTTTGTCCGAACATTTAGTTGTTAGGGCTCGTAAAATGATAAAGAGGCACAAAATTTATAATCTTCATTTCTGTAGCATTGAGCTAAATACGAAAATGTCCTTCTTTAAGATATTAAATCGTATGACATTAATTATTTTTTTTAGGGAGGCATGATCTTGCATGCACAGTTGGAGATCTGGAAAGCAGCATATTCAGAAGAAAGCGTTAAAAACTGGATACCCGAAACTACTTCTGGAAACGCATCTGGTGGTGACATTTCGGAAGGTAAGTTATCTCTATATAATAGTTAAAATAATTATATTCTTGATGTGATAGTTATGATATGATTCTTGATATGATGTGATAGTTATCTGATTACCAATAATCTTGCATATAGAGGGTCCGGCAATAGTGCGTCGGCATCCTTGTAGCTCCTAGAATAAAAAACTTGAGAATTCTGTTTAAGTGCAAACCTAAAGTATGTATGAGGATGTATTTCAGGAAAATATTTTAACTATAGGGTGGCTCAAAAAGATGTGAGTGGATCAGGATTATTTTTTTTTAAATGGAACACCCTGTATATAGTAAATAATTTCGATAGTTTCAGAGATATTATTAAATAGATAAATAAAAATATTTATTTTTGAACCCTTCTTAAAAAAATATTAAAAATACAAGAACTGTTCTGAAATCAAAACTATATTAGATATTTACTTTAGATGGTCTGTTCTTACTTTGCTAATAATATGGTAATCGTAAATCATACAGGATGTTCAATATTTTGTCAAAATTTCAAAAATATAAAATAATTTTTCTTCATTTTTTTAACCCTGTATATGATTTTTTTATTTGATGGAGAATTAAAAAATGAACATTTTTTGTATTTAAAGTATTTCAAAACTTTTAATAGTTTTCCGGATACACGCAGTATTATTTTATATGGCACTTTCAATGGTAAAATACGAGAGAAAAATCATTGGGTGGCTTTGATAAAAATTTACTGTGGAAAATGCCATATGAAAAAAATTATTAAAAATTTTGAAATACTCTAAATACAAAAAATGTTCATTTTTTAATTCTCCGTCTATTGAAAAAATAATATACAGGGTGTTACTTTAAAAAAACAAAGAAAAATTATTTTATATTTGAGAAAGTTTACATCTTGTGATGTTACACTAAAACTAAAACGGTTAGTACCTTCGACCCAAAAATCCATGGTAATTTCTCTTGGCCCGTCCTTTATGCATATGTTTTATATCATCCGTTAAAAATTTACTCAAAAACATACTTTTCTCCATCTTTAAACCAAAGCAAACTAAACAGCTATTAATCTGTGGCAATTTAAAACGAAACCTTTGGCAATGTAGAACAGAATTAATTTAATACAGGCGATATAAATCGCCAAGACCAACAATATTGCCTTCGTATATAAATCAAGTATTTCTCGGCCATAGCACAAATAATGTAATAAATAAATGTTGCGTGATTGTACATACAGTTTAATAAGTTTACAATTATTAAGGTTGAAAAATCACGCTGTGTAAAAGTATAAAATGTATATACGACGTTTGTCCTTAATTATGGATAGATTAAATTATATTATACAGGGGAGCTCTTAGGTAAATATGGCGAGAAGGGTCATCATAGATAGAAAAATGGACGATAATAACTTTATTTGATGACTAAACCATTTAAAAATATTAAATTATAGTAAATTTTTATTTTTTGAGGTGGATTGATCTATTGTGGTATTCTTCTGACCTATTAATTATTAAATAAATTCTCCAGTATCTTTTTCAAAAGTCTAATAACTTGGAGATATGGTAGATAAAAAATTAAAAAAGTTTATTTACTTTCCCAGTCAGAAATAACAGTCTGGCACATTCCAAGTTGTAGAAACTTAGTCTGGATGAAAATTTCCGGATGCAAAAATGTGACAGATTTTGGAAATCTTTAACCCTTATTTTTCCATGCTTGAAATTTCACGTACCTACCAACTGACTAGGAAAATAAGTACCGAAATCTTCATCTCTCCTGGACTAGAAGGACTGTACAGACCAAATCTCAGAAATCGTTACGCCTAGGGCCCCTTTTGTAACTTCTATTATCACAAGGTATAAAATTTCACCTAAGGAGATTCCACTTATAATATTGATAAAGTAAATTTTAAATCACATATTTTGAAACTTCCTGTATATTCGAGCTTAAAAACAAAATTACTTTATTACTAATAAAGCTGGTCTGCATCTCACTGATATAACACGTCTTTGAGACCAGCAACCATGTTCTAGCCAAGGTTATCTGGTTTGCCATTTATCTCGAAAACATCTATTTGTCTTTGTCTTAAAAATTAACAACTTTTTACAATGCTCTTAAATGCTAAAGGCTTGCGTAAATATAACTTTTAATAAACGGTTACGTTGGTTTGACGATTCTAGGAATATTGTAGGTATTTTTTTCTAGTTATTGTAATTGGATTTGCATTTAACCTATAAAGGTTTTTCGATTTACAATACTGTGGTAATTAGTATATTTATCTTGTAATACACCTGTTTTAAATTGTATGGTATGGTGTTTTTAATATTTTTAAAATTCCCAAATTAACCAGATTATCTATAAATTATTATAGAACATATGCTGGGGGGTTTAGAATAATTATTATCAATTATTATATTTTTAAAATTTTATTACTAATAGGGCTTTTTTATAAAAATATATAAATAACTGATCACATGATCATTTTCTTTTGTACTACTACAAAATAGTCGTAATATGTTTTTTTAATGTGTTTTTACAAAGGAATTTATAATGTTTCAAATTTTTACAGGGTGTTTCAAAAAACATGTGCCATATCTCGTGGGGAGTGGGGAGATTCCTCACGTAAAAATAAGATTTATTTTTTTATAATAAGTCCGATTCTGCTTTGTTTCATAGATACAGGGTGTGAAAAAAAGTTACTGGCGTACCATTTTTCAATCTTTCAATCAAATCAAAACCAAACCAAATCAAACCCCTCTAACACGGTATTGCTAACTATTAATTGTTTGATATGATATACCTACATTTTGTAATAAATAAGTAATATAATCTTTTAAGATGCATCTTTTCCAAGTTGTATACAGGGTGTTTCAAAAAACATGTGCCATCTCTCGTGGATATTCCTCACGTAAAAATAAAATTTATTCTTCCTATCAACATAGGCCCGATTCTGATTTGTTTTGTAGCTACTGGGTGTTAAAAGTCTTAATATTTTTTCGATTTTTTATAATTTTCTTCCAAGTACTTTTAGCGTTTCGAATGAAATTTTGAGGATGAAAGTTACTATAAATGCGACACATTTTAAAGCTAAAAAAGTGTGGCATATTGACCAGGGACGTGCATATGGGTTATCACTGGAATATTTTCCTAAAAAAAGTATGTACGCCACTGACTTTTTTTTCTTTTCTTAGTGAAATAGTGTAAGCAATTTAATGCCGATTAAAAGTTATCTTGTCGATTTCGGCCTCCTTGATGAGATAAACGAAATTTTATTAATTTGCCTTGATCCAAGTCTAATAGCAACCTTTAAAAAATTAATATCATTAACTTGTTTAAATAAGTACTCATCGATTCCTCATCAAAAAATATGAAAAAAAGTTCCTATAAACATGGGTATGGAAATGCATAGTTTTAGAGTTACAGGTGTTAAAATTTTTGAAAATTAGATTTTTTGTAATTATCTTAAATACCATTATTTTTTTATTTGAAATTGCTGTAGGTTAGACGAATAGTAATAATAACTAATAGTAATAATATTTAATAATAAATTAGGTAAAATATACAATTTATGAATTTTACATTTTTATTTTAATTTTATTAATAATTGTGATTAATAAAATTGCGTTTATCTCATCAAGAAGGTCGAATTCAACAAAATATCAAGAGATGGCTTTTAATTACAGGCATTAAACGACCTACACAATTTTGATATCAAAAGAAAAAAAGTCAGTGGCGCACATATTTTTTTTTTTTGAAAAATATTCCTGTGATAACCCATATGCACGTCCCTGATGAATCTGTCGACACGTTTATAGGATTAAAATATGTAGCACTTATAGTAACTTTTACCCTCAAAATTTCATTCTAATCCCTAAAGTACTTGGAAGAAAATTCTAATAAATCGAAAGATTATTAAGATTTTAACACCCTGTAGCAACGAAACAAAGCAGAATTGGACCTATGTTGATATGAAAAATAAATTTTATTTTTACGTGAGGAATCTCCCTCGAGAGATGGCACATGTTTTTTGAAACACCCTGTATATCTTTCTGATAATAGTCTAAAACCAAATTGTTTATCATGTAGTTGTGACTTTTACGGATAACCTTTCTGAAAATAATTTATCCCATTTTTTCGCAACACAAACATAATGCGTCCAGTCATCGACTTTTGTTACATTTTTTTCATAACTAGATCAAAACTGGATATAAACCGATTAAAAAAAAATAAATTGAAAACTAAACAGCGATTAAGTAGCCAATGGGGCGTAAAGTGTAATAAACAACTTTTTATCAGGTTTAAGAATGACCACACCTTCAATTACAGCGACCTTCTCAAAGTTTACTACTCTCTAAATGTATAAATAATATACACATATAGAATCAAAAATAAAACAATATCTTGTATCTGACTATACTTTCTAATAAATCTCTCATTAGACAAAAAAATTAAAGGCATTCTCTTAAATATTTTAATACCGTAAGTAAGATCGGGTAGGATCAAACAGTCTTGTGATTAGACAGTTTGTGAAACTATGCAAAAATATTTTATTTTTACAAGTCTCTTAATAAAAATACTATAGTATGTCCCCCGGTCCCCGGATTGCCTTTACAAAAGAAAAAATTTTTTTAATATTGACATTTTATTTTGAGAAAAAATTATGCTTGTTCTAAAATGGGGGGGTTTTATCTCGTTTATATACTTTTCCAAATTTCCACGCCGCTTTAGAGAAAATTCAAAAAATCATGAACACATTGTTGAATTTTTCCTAAAAAAAGTCCTAGAAATCAAAAGGCATTTCTATGGTAATATATTTTCAATTTCAGCCTTTGATAGATTATTATAACTAATCGATCTGCATCGATCCACGGCCAAAAATCGGAATAAGTGAAGAAAGTTCGATTTTAGGCGGGAAAATTTTTAAAAATGTTCGAAACCTAGTTAAAATGGGGCGATTATAGAGATAGGGCTTCGCTAGCTCTATCCGTAGAGGCCTACTGGTCGTTTAGCTACTTGCCGTTTCCGAGATATTTGCGTTTTTCGATATTGGCAAAATTTCAACTTTAAATCGTTTTCTACAACTCCTTATGAAAATCTAAGAAACGAAAAATAGGCCACGGGAGGGCACACAACCAGTCGTCTACTGTTGAAAGAGCTATAGATATTTATATAAGATTGAACTAAAAATAAATTTGTGCAATATGGAGGGTGGTAACTCTTTCGAACATGTTGAGCATTAGAAACTATAGTTTGTAGAACTTGATTTATTTATAATAACTACCATTAATATTATGCATATTATAAGATCGTACATTGAGCTTTCAAATTCACAATGAAAAAAGTTAAAAAAATAATATCTTTAAATTTATGACCTGTATATTAGTTATTTGAATTCTTCAATTGGCTCGATTTTCCTTATTCAATATTAATTAGGTGTTAATAAATAATTAAATGGTTTTGTTGTTGTTAAGGTACCCAAAACAAAAAAATATATATACCTATAAAGTATGGCATCTCGTTGTGCTCAGGAGACCGAGTTCTTTCAAAACTCGAAATAAAAAATGTAGGTCCATACTTAAAAAAAATAAGTTGGCCTCTGTATCATACAAATTATCAGCTAATTTGAAAAATCTAAAAATACTATCAGATAGCCCTAATAAAGTGGCTATAAGAATGAGCAAATAGTTTTTTTATTTTCTAAAAAGTAACGACAAAAAAAAATATTTTCAAAAAAATCCGTTTTTTCCAAAAAACTCAGCACCCCTTGAAATTTTTAAAACTTTTTTGATGGCATCTTGGTGAACATCCCAAAGCCCCAATTTAACCATGTTCGTATCTATTACGGTTTCCGAGATACCAATGCTCGTACCTTGAATTTGTAACACCCTGTATATATTGGAGTCTATTTATTAAAAAACCGTTTTCTATTTTCAGATGAGGATGAAGAAGTTCAACCTCCATCCGACCAAAATAAACCCACCACTTCCAGAACAGGAACCCACATCCACCTCTGGCAGTTCCTCAAGGAACTCCTCTCCACTCCCCAAACTCACGGCTCCTGCATACGATGGCTGGACCGCACCAAGGGCATTTTCAAGATCGAGGATTCGGTCAAAGTGGCCAGACTGTGGGGCAAGCGAAAGAACAGACCCGCCATGAACTACGACAAACTGAGCAGGTCGATCAGACAGTACTACAAGAAAGGCATCATGAAGAAGACTGAGCGATCGCAGAGGCTGGTTTACCAGTTCTGCCATCCTTACAACCTGTAAGGATTGAAGCAGCGTCTGTGACCTCAGCGTATGTCGTCATAGACAAGTTTGACTATCTGTCGTTCAAAACTTGTAGGTCATTTGATCTCACTTTGTTCTGACAGTGCATTTTGGACGATCCGATCGTCGGACTATATGTATACTTACAGTACTGTATAAAAACTATCATTATGGGGTTATATTTGTAGCGGTTTAGGGTATTAAGGTGTAGGTTTATCGGTAAATTAGTCACTTTGAAGTTATCGAAGTGTTTAAGTAATTTAAAACAACGCGGGGTATTACCGCTTGTTGTGGTACACGTTTTCTAAGCGTCGTACTATTTTTCGGAAGGTAATTTCCAAATATTTCAAATAAAATATTTACCAGTGAGTAAAACTCCGTTTAAAGAACATTTCGTTTATCTCAGACTTTGTATTTTTCCTAGCTCATTGGTGCTCGAGCAAAAAAAAATGCTTTAGAGCTCATTAGTTAGGAGAAAAAAAGTTTATTTGGACGATGTGCTACGCTTTTTATGGTGTGTGAAAACTGGTGATCTTGGTCCTATATATCTATGATATATTAAAATAATGTAAGTTCTGTGAACGAGTTTTCTTAGTATAAGAAAAGTATAATTGAAACAAAGATATTTTGTAAGTTAAGTCAAGTAGTTATTTAATTATAACAGAATATAGATTATTCTTCTGAGGCAATATGTTTTATTTTTAAGATTTTATGTTCTTTATATCTAGTAATTAATCATATAATTTATAGCGTACAATATTATTTATTTTGGTATAAAACCTATATGTGTAGGAGTATATACCTGATTATACAATTATTTACACTTAATATTTATGTACTTATTTATTAATTTATGAATTCGAAGTAGCATGATATATTATTAATTATATTAGTAGTTTTTACAATTTTTGTATATCAACTTGTATAGAATAACAACATAGATGCTGTTTATAATGCAATAAAGAGACAGATTTAGAACACTATTGTTTTATTTGTCCTAGAGTCTTTTCAACTGAGTTAAGGAAGATTTAAACAGACGGCATTCAAAAAATGACAGGTTGAAAATATAATTTTCCTGCGATTTAAAAAGACAGACACATATGTCACTGTTAGCGAATCTTCCGTTGGACAGACTATATTTTCCTTGAATTATGGAGTAAATTAATTATTTACGTAATCTCATTTCTCATTTAGCTTAATTTAGACTTTCAGTTAGTCTGTGACTTTACAAATAGTAAATCATTTCAAGATACTTGACTGTGGGGCAAGCGAAAGAACAGACCCGCCATGAACTACGACAAACTGAGCAGGTCGATTAGACAATACTACAAAAAAGGCATCATGAAGAAGACTGAGCGATCGCAGAGGCTGGTTTACTAGTTCTGTCATCCTTACAAACTGAAGCAGCGTCTGTGACCTCAGTGTATGTCGTCGTAGACAAGTTTGAGTATCTGTCGTTCAAAACTTGTAGGTCATTTGATCTCACTTTGTTCTGACAGTGCATTTTGGAAATTAAAAGATAGGGTTTTCTACAATCATGACTTGAGCACAAAAACGAAACTTGCAGTGTATCGAGCAGTAATAATCCCCACCATGTTATATGGAAGCGAAACCTGGGTGCCGTACCGCCGGTACACAAGCGCATTAAACAAGTTGCAACAGAGACACCTTAGACAACTTTTAAGAATCAAATGGTACCACCATGTCTCAAATGTATCAGTCCTTAAAAAAGCAAGCTGCGAGAGCGCTGAAGTCACGATTACTAAATCTTGCTTAAGATGGGCTGGCCACGTACATATGCAGGATGCAAGAAAACCGCCTATCTACCGAAATCTCTTCTTTACGGTGAACTTGTAGAGGGTAAGAGGAAACCGGGTGGACAACTCAGAAGATACAAGGATGTTGTTCATGAAAACTTAAAGGGGATAAGTATGCAGCATCAGTGGGAGGAAACAGCGCACAATAGAACGCAATGGAAGAGAATTGTAAATTCAGTTAATAACGACAACCAAAAAGTAAAGAGGCAACAAAGTAATGAGATTTTTGAATTTCCGGAGTGCGGAAGAGAGATAACATCACGTATCGGGCTTTTTAGTGGTAGAAAAGCTCATGACAGGAAACGCCTTGCGTAACCATCTTTTGATGCGTGTCATATACTCGTCAGCGAGTAATGGCAGTAGTAGTTAGTAGTAGTAGTAGTAGTACAAGGTCCGGCAATAGTTAGTAGTAGTAGTAGTTAGTAGTACAGGGTCCGGCGTACAGCGTCGGGCATCTGTAGCTCCTAGAATAAAAAACTTGAGAATTTTGTTTAAGGTTTTTGTAACCTAAAGTATGTATCAGGACTACCAGGATGCATTTCAGGAAAATATTTTAACTTCTATAGGGTAGCTCAAAAAAGTGTTAGTGGATTTTTTTAAAATGGAACACCCTGTATATTATTGCATTTTTGGCTTCCTTTCAGATCACTTTACATAACCCTAAGACTAAACGTTCTCGAACCCAGTGTGAGTACATATCAAAGTAAAACCTCTGAAGGCGGGTAAGAGGACAAATAACTCACAATCTTTAAGATAATAATAATAATAATAATAATAATAATAATAAGTAATATCCAAAGGAGCAGAACTACATCTGAACCGCACCCCAGGAAAATCATCTATCCAAGAAGCCCAAAAGATTACGTTGCTCAGCACGGCTCACATCCTTCGCAAAGTGTTGAACTAAGTTGCTTTGATCCCAGGCCGGGAACTGGACTTAGTCAATAATTACCGGAGAACTTCAACCGCCATCTCCGTGGAATATGTTAAATAATAATAATAAATGTCTTTATTTAGTACCCAAGAAAAACAAATTACAAAATATCATAATAAAAGATGCGGCGAGATCTAGCACAATGCTACTCCATCTAACCGCACTATTAAATACCGTATGATCGAAAAAAAACGGCGTCCAGTTGGCTGGGAAATGACGATCGATGACATTTCCCATATAAATTTACATATAAAATGACAACGATCTTCATTTCATAGCCAACGCTGACGCCATTTTTCTCGATCATACGGTATAAGCTTAACAACTAAAGTCTAAGTCTTTTCGTGAGCAGTAATTAATGACACTAAAAGATTATAGAGAACAATAATATGATAGCAAAGGCGAGCATTAAATGAACAAACTAAAAACAGAAATAATTATAAGTTATTTTAAAATCACATTCTCGACGAAATTAAATACTTCTCCCATTCATACAATGACGCTCGACAGCTTTCCTGAATGAGCCAACAGAGGGCCTGCATAATACACTATTTGGTAAACCATTAAATACTTTTACAGCAGAATAACTAAATGAGCCTCGAAACCTGGAAGTTCTGTGCTTAGGTACAACAAAATTTCGGGAGTTACGTGTTGCCCGACCGTGGATACTATTATTAGTAATTAATTTGTCATAAAAATATTTAGGGAGTTGACTGTGACGAACTTTATTACTCGATTTAATTAAGGTAAGAAGATGTTTTAATTAAAGATGTTTATTTAAATTTAAATGCTTCAAAAAAAGCAGGGGGGCGACATATTTCGGGACTTAAAATTTAAGTCCCGAAACATGTTAAAGATTGTGAGTTATTTGTCCCCTTACCCGCCTTCCAGCGTTGCCAGGTGTCGGAAATAAAATTATGGATCAATGTAGATAAAATTATCGAATTTATCACAAAATTATGTTACAAGCCATATATTTCGTTCTGAGGGAATTATCTAAAAAATATAATGATAGCGATAAATTTGGATCCTATTTTTTGTGGGTTTAACTTATTTTTAATAGGTTTCAAACGTATTTTCTCAGTCAGTTTTATGATATCGGGGTCTGGTTTCTCTTCTGTCCGCATTTTTAAATCGGAATTACTTGATTCGTCGCGAATATTTAGTGCTCTAGACCATGCCATTCTTTTAAACTTTAAAACCATTTGAGTCATTTTGCATTAACTACCTTAAAGTTAATTTATTTATCAAAAAATATAGTTCATGATTGATAAAACATTAATTATGGCAGGTTACCAAATTATGTTACAATTATCGATTATGGTACAGATTTTTTTTGGGAAAATTTTGTTCCAAAATTATGTTACAATTTGATAATTATGTTACATCTGGCAACACTGCCGCCTTCAGAGGTTTTACTTTGATAACCCTAAGATATGAATAAATATATTTCGATAGTTTCAGAGATATTAAAAAATAAATCAAAAATATATTTTTTTCAGCCCTTCCTAAAAAAAATTATTAAAAATACAAGAACTGTTCTGAAATCCAAGCTATATTAGGTATTTACTTTAGATGGTCTGTACTATGGCCAACTAAGAATGGACGCCGGCTGTATCTCAGAAACTACTTATCGTATAACTTTGGGGAAAAAAATTTAATAAGTAAATCGACCAAGAGAAATCGCTGAAAATTATTTTCAAGTTCGAAAAATGCCCGCTAGGGGGCGTTTCTCTAATAGCCAATCAGAAAAGATTTTTCTCAAAAATATGCAGGTGAACAGGTATTTTAAATATTACTATTGTAATCTCCGAGAAATTTGTAATTTTTTTGATATAGAGTATTTTGCTCTATCTCATAAAATGAAGTGGTGGGGGAAGGTTAAATTTGCTTTTATTAAAATATGGATAACTCCGGTTTAGATTACCCAATTTAAACAAACTAGGACTCGTTTAAAAAAGCTTTTCTTCCTTAATGATCTCCGGTATAAATTTTGTTTCCACAATTTTTTTCGTGGTAGCTAGAGGGCGCTATTTGACATCATAACAGATATTGCGCTTTTGCGTAAAAAAATTAAATAGGAGGCTATATTTCTCTTTGCACAGTTAAATAGAGCACAAAATTTCCAAAATACCAGCGCAAACCGCAACTTTCTATCTTCTCTCTAACCGGAGATATTAAGAGAACAAATCATGTTAGGCTGTTAGGCTGCCGCTCAGGATTATATGGTCTAAAAATTATAGTAGTAGGCTAGGAAACAAAAAGAGGTATATTGATTACGTCAAAATATCAAAACGTTTAAGTTCAGTTTTCATGCATCCGAATTTCGGGAGATTTCTTAAAAAATGACGTCATAATTATTTAAACACGTTTATGTAACATTATCATCAATCCATACAATTTTTACGATTTTCTTGGTTAAATATACGTAAATAGTTCTCAGATTAAAATGTCCGAAAGTCCGACAATCAATAATTTTATTAAAATTTCCAGAAATTTTGTGCCGCCATACTGCTTTTAACAGAAAACGGCCGAATTTTGTATGGCCGAAAACTAGGAGTTTAATTCATGTAACGCTATTTAGTTATTAATCCAAGTTCGTCCTTGATTTCACTTGTTTTCGTGTTTTTCCTGTTGTTTGTGTTATTTGTTATTATATTATAAAATTTATGTCGTTTGGGCCACTTTTCATATAGCACCGAACGAAGCTGCGAATCTTAACAATATGCACTACTGGTCCAAATCTACCCTTGATGCAAGTTGTTTAGCACCAAGACCGTTGGTAGGTAAATATTTACGCAGGAATTCTAGGATGGCGAACGATTGGATTTTTTTAATTATCCGAATGAAATGAACAATTCATAATTTCTAAGAAATGAATTGCCAATTTTGTTATTGGATTCATCATGATGAAATTGCATTTGTTGCAATTTCATCAGCATGAATGCAGTTGGTATTGGTGGTAGTTGTGCCGCTTATTTTGCTACGAATGTGTGGGGCTTCTTGGATACCACTTACTTTAGTAGATAGAGACATAAAATAATTAACTAGAAAGAAGTGTCAACTCTGTGTTAAATCGTGGAACACGATACGCCACCGAAAGCCTTCGTTGTCGTCTGGAGAACTAATTTTCCAATTGACAGGTTGACATGATAAGGACATGATGGCTTAATTTTTCATTTCCGTTTCCGGTTATTCAATGGCGGGTCCTCTTTCAGTTCAAATGTATTTTGTATTTTTACTTTTCATAAATAAAACCAAAAAATTATTTATTCACATATATTTATTTGAAATATGGAACAACGTGACTAAATAAATATAAAAATATAGAGGATTGTATTGTTTCAATACCAATTAGTTAATTATATGTACTTTTAACGTAAATTAGTTAAGGTATAAGCATGACTTACAGTATTTTGTAAATAAACACACGTATTCGCAGACTTCAAGGACAGAAAACGGACACAGGAACATGAAAACGGGAGCCTTATACAAAAAACCTGAAAACAGAAAAACAATTTTTTATACTAAAATTAACAATGTAAAAATATCAATAGGTATAAAATATAAATATACTGTTTAAAAAAGCGTCCATTATTCCCAAAGAGGCCTGGCTTATAAATCAAAAAAAAAGAAGCAAAAGAGACTTTTTAGTCGGATAACATAATCAGATTATCAGTCCGATTTATTGCATTATTGACAATAAATCGCACATACTGGAGATAACTAATGTTGGCTATAGTTAAAAATGATCTTACCTTGCTGTAAATTGCTTCCATTTTTCAGAAAAATCGCCGATCAAAGATATTATAATACCATATTCTTGCATCTAAAAAATGTAAAAACAGTGTTTATTTACTACCTATTTTTCATATACATGGGACATACCTACTACTGCAGAAACGTCGTTTTCTCCAGGATTCTTCATGTAATATATATTTTATATACTTTATTACCATTATATTTATAAATTTCAGCCGAAATATTAAATTGACTTCCAAAACGAAACTAAACGGAATGAATTAAAATGGCGTCGAATATTTTCGAATTTGTTCTAGAACAAATCTGAAGTTGTCTCTGAAACTGAAATCTGTCAATTCCTAAACTGTGAAGTTAGACAATAGTTAGACAAAAACAATGCTGTCCTTGTCTAGGCGGCCATACTTGTCGTGAGGAGATAAAACAGGAATGACACTAATGACTGTTTCCAATTTTCCTATTTCACTGTCACCCCCTGGATATAGAGACGCTGGAGCGGCATACTTCCATGGCCAGCTAGGTCATCGGATTGAATATGCCTGGGTTTTAATTGATAGGATCGAATCAACAACGAACATGGAGAAATAATAATTAAATTGTATTAAAAGGAAACTTTAATTTGTTTAGATATTTTGACGTAACCAATTTACCTCTTTTTGTTTCCTAGCCTATTACTATAATTTTTAGACTATATAATCCTAAGCGACAACCTAACATCATTTGTTCTCTTAATATCTCCGGTTAGAGAGAAGATAGAAAGTTGCGGTTTGCGCTGATATTTTGGAAATTTTGTGCTCGATTTAACTGTGCAAAGAGAAATATAGCCTCCTATGTAATTTTTTTATGCAAAAGCGCAATATCTGTTATGATGTAAAACAGCGCCCTCTAGCGGCCACGAAAAAAATTGTGAAAACTAAATTTATACTGGAGATAATTAAGGAAAAAAAGCTCTTTTAAACGAGCCCTAGTTTGTTTGAATCGGTTAACCCAAACCAGAGTTATCCTTATTTTAATAAAAACAAGTTTAACCTTCCCCCACCACTTTATTTTATGAGATAGTGCAAAATACTTTTATCAAAAAAATTACAGATTTCTCGATGATTACAATAGTAATATTTAAAATACCTGTTCACCTGCATATTTTTGAGAAAAACCCTGTTTTCTGATTGGCTATTAGAAAAACGCCCCCTAGCGGGCATTTTTCGAACTTGAAAATAATTTCCAGCGATTTCTCTTGATCGATTTACTTATTAGAATTTTTTTCCCAAAGTTATACGATAAGTAGTTTCCGAGATACAGCCGGCGTCCATTGTTAGTTGGCCGCCCGGTACTTACTTTGCTATAAATATGAAAATCGTAAATTATACAGAATGTTCAAAATTATTTTGTATTTTAGAAAGTTTAGCGTAGAAAACTTTCTAAAATATAAAATAATTTTTCTTTGTTTTTTTAAATTAACACCCTGTATATTATTTTTTCAATAGACGGAGAATTAAGAAATGAACATTTTTTGTATTTAGAGTATTTCAAAATTTTTAATAATTTCGCAGATATTTGCGGTTTTATATTTCATATGGCATTTTCCACAGTAAATTTTTATCAAAGCCACCCAATGATTTTTTTTTTGTATTTTAACATTGAAAGTGTCATATGAAATAATACTGCGTGTATCTGCGAAGCCGTTAAAAATTTTGAAATACTCTAAATAAAAAAAATGTTCATTTTTGAACTATGATGATTAAATGTTATGATTTGTAGGATGTTTTTTTTTAAATTTTCTCTAAAACAGTATGGAAATTTTGAAAAGTATAAACGAGATTAACCTTTTTAGAATAAGCAAATTTTTTTACGAAAAATGCATTTTTTGAAAATGTCAATAATAAAAAAGTTTTTCCTTTTGTAAAGACAATCCAGGACATACTGTAGTAATAACAGAAATAAGGCCCCTCACATTTTCATGTAGGTTTTTGTTTTTTGATGGAAGTAGGTACCTATATTGCCATACAACTATTATTTATTTACAAAAGTGCTACCTTACAAGTTATATTTTTTAATATCATGGGCTTTTACTGGAGGAATCATCATGATTTACTTCAGAACTGCTAGATTCCTCCAAATTTAAATTCGATACTTTTAAGTCAACTGGCACTTCAACACCATCAATCTTAGCAGCAATTTCTGCATACTTCTTAGCTCTATATGCTTTTTTGGCTTCTTCTAAAAGTATATTATGAATAAGATTTTTATTTGAGGTGTTGTCAGAAGTAGAGGTGGATAAGGATTGCCTCTCAGTTCGAGTACAGCTTTTTCATCCTCAGGACCTACAAATTAAGATTAATTGCGAACAGTTGAACACATATTTACTATAAATAACAGAAAACATTGCAGGATACACCAAAAAACTAAACACAAACACTTTCTGTTGTACTACGTATACTGTGTGTCAAAATATTAAATTCAATTTGTATCTTGAATGAGAATATATTAACCTGGATATGGTCGTGGAGCTCTTAACAATCGAGTGTATGAAATGTTGTAGTTCTCATATCTGGGCGCTAATACTTTGAATAGTTTATGAACAAGTTGTTTTTCTACAAGCCAATAATCTGCCATTTCCATTGTGGTTCTATGCGTATCTCCATAACGAATTGCATCTGATATCAACTAAAAAGCAATTTGTACCTCAAGTACGTTTTAAAAAACCATACTATATTCATTACCCTTTCAGCGTACATTCTTGCCTCGTCCGCTCTAGGGTAATTTAATTCTAATCTCTCATGTTTTATGAGCGCTGTTACAGTTTTTCTTAGTTTATCTAATCGGCCTTCTGGACCCTTGGGGTTTCTAAATTTGCGTAATCTAGGATTCACCCTAGTTTTTAATTGAGACACCAACTTGGATACTTCTGCTTGATTCATCGTTACTTAAATATTTGTATTTAATTTGATAAATAAAATGAATAAAATTTTAGAACATTGGCAACAAATTTTTGTAGGTTAACTACTAACCACAGATCATTGCCACAGATAATTCAACTATAAACAACCACTAACCATAGAGCAATCTAAAAAACCGCGTCAAAATGGCCGCGTAAAAACCTAACGCAAAAATATTTTTTGAGGTAAAAGCGTAGTTTTTGTACATTAATAAAACTACCTTTGAAAATATTGTTCAAGAATAGGCGTTAAATATATTTTAATTTATTTCATTAGATTTATTGTTTTTTCAAAGATGTATTCTTTATGTTTATGTTTAATGTTCAATCGAAATTTTTACTGATACAAGTCTGAAACAACCCGAAACAACCAAAAATATATGCCTAAGGGATATGGAATGCCATATTTGATTTTTATTATTTTATTTTACAATTTTTTTCTTTTTCGGTGTATTTTATTAATACATAAAATAATCGGTACCCATCCTTTATGTATTTCGTTTATATATTGTCAATGGTTTCCATCAAAATATGTTTAATTGGTTGCTATTACTTGCATTCACAGTTGTTCTATTTGTGTATTACTGGTTGCCTGTAGTTGAAACAAGTTTAAAAGCTCGCGCCTAGCAGGAACATTTGCAGGCCCACATTTATTTAAAGGTCCTGCGCTAAACCGTCATCGCTAAATCGATTCGCGTCTGGTCGGTTATCGCAGGCTACTGCGATCTGTGAGTTCCTGCAACTTACCAGAAATCAGACGGATAGTGTGTGTGTATTGCGCGTGAAAGATCGGCGAAAAGTTTGTTTCGCGGACTGCATCTAGTAATCGTACCGAGCGTCGTATTTTTATCGCGGCTTTGCCGGCTAATTTGCTGATTTTCGATCATTTCTAACAACTTTTTGTGTGTGCGGCGTTGTTTTTGAAGATGTTAAGATGACCACTACCACCACTACTATCCGAAAGTCTTATGGGAACAGAAAATTGTACACTTTTCCCGAAGATTATCCCGCCAGGTCGCCGAAACAGAAAAGCGGTTCGGTCAACAATTTGTTGAAGAAAAGTGGCGAGGACGTGAATAAATTGATTAAGTACATTGACGATAATATCGTAGGGAAGAATAATGCATTTTTAGGGCCCTTTGGAAGGAGGAAAGGTGAGTTTTTTTTGTTGGGTTTATTTTTTTTTAAACTTTAAGTTACTTTAAAAATCTTATGACGCAAATACTGTAATTATTAAAACCCAATACTTCGTTAATTAATCTTCAACTAAAATGGTCCAATTTTTTATATATTTGACAGAATAAATAATATAAATAATTTTTGAAAATAAATAAAAAATAAACAAATAAGTATAGGTAAAATAATAACAAAAATAAAACACCAAATTGATGATCTGAAAAAATATAATCTTAAACTAATTATTTTTAATTGATTGACATAACATTATTAGAAAATGCATAGTTAATAAAATCCAGTTCTGGAAGTACATAAGTCCCGCCATTTTGAAAATATCTTAGATTAATTTTCTGTCTAAAATATTTTAAATTAATCTTCTAAATATTTTTTTATACTGGTTATCGAATTATTTTTCGGTAAGACTACGATTTTGGGGAAAAATATAACGCGTACTTATATAAGCGTATAAATATACAGTTCATACCAAATATCAAAACTTTGAGTTACGTGATTAAGCGTTGCCACTTTTATATATTATTTTCTTTTAATCAAAATATTTTAGGAAACAAAAAAATATTGATTATACATATCTCGATAAATATATAAACAGTTATTATTTATATCAACAAAATTCAACTTAAAGGATATAAAGGGCCATTATTACCACCGCTTTTTTGTTCAAAATATTCTTATAAAGTTGCGATGATTTTTTTGCGGCTATAAAGCGATTAAGCTATCTTGTACCATTTCGCACTAAAAGAGGTTCTCAAAAGAATAATATTCTATTGCAAGGTCTGCTAGTAAACACTTTTAAGTTTAAAGTATCACAACACTATTTATTTACACCAAAAAATACTAAAAACTCGCAATAAAAAACTAAAGTGTCAAAACGAATGACAATGTCAGGAAATAAATAAATAAATATGGCAACTTGACATTTTTTAGAGCAGGGTTACCACCTGAATCCTCAGCGCGAAATTTAAATTCCAGTTAGTCAGCGCGGCGCCCAAAATGTCCATGGTTGGCAACAATGAATTTAAATATCGCGCCCTCGATTATGTAACTAAAATTGATATCATATATAGGTACATATTTTTTGTAGTTGAATTTTTGGGATATAGACTTTGTTATAGGTATGTAATGTACAATGATATAATAATATACAGTAAATATGGCCAAAAAACTTTATAATCAGGCATGCTTTTTAGCTATTATGACAGAAAATGAATTTGTATAGAACATTACGATAGATTATTTTCTTTCAAAATCAAAGATCGTGCAAAAGGTTATTTCTTTAATATACAGGGTGAGTCTTAAAATAAGTGCAAATATTTTTAGGGACGGCATATTTTAACCCCAGAAACACATTAACAAGGTTTTTTTCGGGAGTTTTTTTTAAATTAGTATGTTTCGAAAAAAAAAATTGGAATTTTTTTAATTTTTAGTTTTAAAAACATAATATCTTGACAGTATGACCAACATAGGTAGAGTCGAGAGTAGAGTAGATTGAATTTACAAGAAAGAAAACCCAGAAAAAAAATCCAGAGTTTCTCAAAATTTAAACAAAATTTTTTTTGGAAGTTTTCAAAGTAAAAAAATATCTCGGTTATTTTTGGCTTATTTGAAAATCCGTAAAGAGAAAATATGTTTCTTTCCTTTATGGAGATCTACTAGCCCTGAGAATATTTGCACTGTCTCAAACCAAAAGTATTTAAAATTAGTGTTATTTTGAATATCTAATAGAAACATTTAAATATATACAGGGTGGTCCATCGAAAACGTTCCGCAAGGCATAACGGCCAGGATATTTTTTTTTTCAAAAAATCCAAAAACACGTCAATTTTGTTTGTGAGGGGGACAACTTTTGCTCCAAAAATGATTGCAAAATCTTTAACCCTCTAAGCGGGGGTGTCATCCCCCAACTTTTTTCAAATGGGAAGGGGGGTCAAGTGGTACCGCAATGAAAAGGGCTTTTTATTCTCTATACTTTCCCGCTTCGTTTTTGAAAATCGGTCGAGTCATTGAGAAAATATGAAGGATTGAAATTTGAAAAGTTTATTTAAACATTTATCAGAGTAAATGATAAGGATAAATCCCTTCGACCAATTTGCTGTTTTTTCTTATTATTTCTAGATGTTTACGCATTTTTTCACTTGCCACAAAGTTGAACGATCAGGTGCGGCAGTTGCTAGATAGCTGTTCTGTGACTTGTGCGTTGAAGTTCTTCTCAATATCGTTAAACTGACCCAAAATAGAATTTCCAAAAATACCAGCCTACACGTTCAATTTCTGAGGGTTTTGTGTGTGCACCTCGTGAAAAAACCCTCAGCCCAGTACCGACAGTTATGCCGATTAACTACACCGTTCAAAAAGAAAGTACACTCATCCGAAACCAAACTCCAAACCAAACCAAACACACATTAAATAGGAAATTATTATCATTCGTCACTCGTTCACTCACAGTTTCACAAAATTGCAAGCGACGATCAAAATCGTCTTCGTTGAGTTCTTGTACCAACTGAATTTTGTACGGGTGGAACTTGTGTTTTTTTAATATCGTTTGGACCATAGACTTAGAATAAAATATAGACTACACTATTTACATTTAAGCGCGGTCAAATATTAATTTTTGTAAACATGTTTACTCCTGGGTGCAGCTGACCTCGGCCGTCTGAGTCTTTCGCCTCCAGCCTATGTTGTCACGTCTAAAATATTATTAATATTTTTTGTTGTTGTTATACACATATATTGAGATATTAAAATTGTATTTTAATAAAGTAGTGTTTAATAGCAGAAAGATGTATTAAATAGTCCCTATACTACTAAATTATAAGTCGGAGACTATTTAAAAATGACAAATTCTTTACAATTTGGCAACACCCATCAATCGCCGGGTCGCCTGTTCATTCTTTATTCTCTCGTAGTAGAGCCATAGTAGAGTAAAGCACGTGTCGCAAAACCTTGTTGTCACAGTTTCTCCATGGCTATTTTATTGTTTTTATTGGATGTTTTGATTTTGTATTTTTTTGGATTCGATTTTCTTAGTGTGTAGTGATTTATTTAGTGTTTATTTTATTTACTTTTTGGATTTTCTTAGTTTGTAATGATTTATTTAGTGTTTATTTTATTTTTTTTTGGATTTTCTTAGTTTATAGTGTCGGTTTAGTGTTTTTTTTGATTACTTTTTATTTAAAAACTATAAAACATGGTTCGTCGGTGCCAAATTTGTAAGAAATTGGACTATTTAAGTCCTGGAACAACATTCCACAGGTAAGTCAAATTTACTATTTTGGCGTCAGTGGCGTTGTAGAAAGGCGCTTATTTAGATAATAATTTAGTAAATTATAAACCCTGGAAAATCTGTATTTTTTATATTTATCATTTACGTAAAGGTTCTTACTAACCTCGTTATTAATATAACGAGTAGATACATTATTAAGTACATAAGAAGTAGACACATTATTTTCTTGGGCATTGGTTAATTTAATGCTTTTTTTTATGAAAAATGTGTTTCTTTTTATTCTAAAACCATCCTTAGAATCTAAAATAACATACAGGAATTCCAGAATGATATTCCATTATGAAACAACAATTTTTAAGGCTTATTATAAACTATAAACAATCGAGAAAGTCGAAAAAATTACAAGCTACCAAACATTTTAAAATACCAAACATTCCTTATTTTTTTTCAAGACTAAAATATTTTACAAACATTACTTTTTCCCTATAGTTTCACATCAGGTATAGAAATAACTACGTTTTTATGATAGGGTCACCATTATGATAACAAAAATGACGAACAATGGTCCAGAAATGTAAACAAGTACATATTTTTTGTAAATATTTTTCTTACCGCTTGCATTTTTGTCCATTATTATTTCACAAATTATACAGGGTTATGTAAACCAGGTAGATATTTCGTTTTTTTTATATTAAACAAAGATAAAATAAATATGCCATTTTAAAATTTATCCAGTACTTACCTAGAGTTTTTTCTTTTTTTTTCTCGACTGTTAATCTATTATTAATTTGTAATACCGTATGATCGAAAAAAACGGCGTCCAGTTGGCTTGGAAAAAACCATCGATACATACTCCATATAATTTTACATATAAAATGACAGCGATCTTCATTTCATAGCCATCGCTGACGCCGTTTTTTTTCGATTATAAGGTATAATTTTCATTTTTTCTTTTATAATGTAATATCACTTAAGTAATATCACATATAATCTGAAGATAGTTTTAGAATTAACCAAAACGTAAATCTTTAATAAAACAATCTGTTATTATTTGCCATATATGTATGTATCCAAGAAAATAATTTACATATTATTATTATATGTTTTACTGTTTTTTATCTTTATTTGAAACTCAGAAATGTTGCATTGGCTTTCTAAAAAAATGAACTTGTAAGTTTTTAAAATGCTTCGTTTCGGAGATACAGGGTGTAGAAGTTTCATTTTTATTTCGATTTTTTTCCAAATAATTTCTGAAGTGACGTCAATATTTGGACGAAAATTGGCGTTTGGGAGTTTTTTGACATGAAAAATTAGATTTAGATGTCAATTTGACTTTTACTAATAGGGGGCGCCACCTACATATTTTTTAAGTTATTTGAAGAGTAATACTTTTTGTCTGTATCTATATAAAACTACTGAGAAAAATTTACATTTCCAACGTTTTTTACTTAATAAGGTCTCTTGTTGACACTCGCCACAAGTATAGTTCTCAAGATATTTGGAAACGAATTAATCAATACATTCTTCATAAATTATTTGGAAAAAAGCGAAATAAAAATGAAATTTCTACACTCTGTATCTCTGAAACGAAGCATTTTAGGACATAAATTTATACTATTTTTTTTACTGATTTTATTTGCAGATTATGCTGCCAAAGTTTCCTGAATACAATTCCGACCACTCTGTATATCAAGATATCCCCCATTACGTACTAGTTTTTCTTAATAATTTTCTATA